TGTTGAGTAAGGGGCGAGAAGGTTCTCAGGCTTTTGCTAAATTGCATCTCCGGAAGTTAAAGCAGGAAATCTAGTGTCACGTTGTCCTTATGCATGTACTACACATCCTACATTCTTCTTGTGCTTTTTAGACTTTATGTGTTTGTGATGCAAGTGAACATTTACCAAAGCTATTGTAAAGTTTGCTGTCCTGTTGCTTTATATGTACGAGCATAAATTTAAACATTCTGGTGATGCAAAGATATTAATTGAACCATTAGCATTTTAGCATCAATAAAGGCATTTTACTACATTTAATGATTCTATGTCTGAATGTGTCCTCTTGGTATATCCATAGATCGTGTGATAACAATTTCCTTAGCTTCTTCTGAATCTTTATGTAAAACAATTACTACAGTCCAAAAGAATCTTAGTCATTTATGCAGGGCATTCCAGTAAATATTACTGTAGGTTCTCATGTGTGGATCGAGGATCCATCAGTTGCTTGGATTGATGGACAAGTATCGGAGGTTAATGGACAGGAAATTCAGGTTCAGACATCTGATGGGAGGACGGTATATCTCTTTTACATTGAGTAGTATTCATTCATGAGATTACTGTTGCTTTATTTGTTTTTCCATAGAAGTTTAGTGTGTACTCTGGACTCAATCGTGAGACCAACTCTAACGTAATTGAAAATCTGGTTATCCTATAGCCTAATTGATTAAATTAACTAAATTGACTTGAAAATAATACAATATTCTGATGATGGAATTAATGTCTTTTAAATACTGCGACAGAGGATCTAATTCACTAGTCTTCTTTGATTGTTGGTTTTTATATATATACGACTACAGTCTTGTTTGGTGCAACCTGCCGTAGTTTGCAACTGTAAGGCTTTTGTGGCTTCCATACTATATTTTCATTTTACCCTTCTTTCCACAAATATTGGCACATTAGCTTAACTGTTTTATTATATTTTAGTGGTAAAGGAAAGATCCACTGCAGTTGTTCTAATTTACTGCTATATAACTCTCTAGTTTTCTGCTAAGCCACATCGACACAATTCCCAATTGACAATGCACATCTCTAACCTGGCAATGACCTGGTTTTTACTGTTGCATATTTTCCTTTGATTTCATCTAGGTTGTAGCAAATTTATCAAAAACTTACCCCAAGGATGAAGATGCTCCTGATGGAGGAGTTGATGACATGACTGAACTTTCATATTTGCATGAGCCTGGAGTCTTACATAATTTGGCAACAAGATATCAACTCCACGAAATCTATGTAAGTTTTTAGTCCAATGCTCAAAACTTTATTACTTTATGTTCAATTTGGTTAAAGAAAGGATTGAAACTGCAGCTACATATGACTTTCTTATATTATTATATCATACTCTACATTATTGCAGACTTATACTGGAAGTATTCTTATAGCAATTAATCCGTTTCAAAAACTGCCTCATTTATATGACGGCCACATGATGGAAAAATATAAAGGAGTACCACTTGGTAAACTAAGTCCTCATGTCTTTGCTATTGCTGATGCTGCTTACAGGTACTCCTGTGTACAACTTCAACTCCACATACATTTTCTCATGAAAAATAATGCTATTGTAACTGAAATCTTGAAAATGAATAAGGGCAATGATCAATGAGGGTAAAAGCAATTCTATATTGGTTAGTGGAGAAAGTGGTGCTGGTAAGACTGAAACTACTAAAATGCTTATGCGCTATCTTGCCTATTTGGGCGGCCATAAAGGCACTCAAAGGCGGACTGTGGAACAGCAAGTACTGGAGGTAAGCTAAATGCTCGGATTACTGTTTTAAACTCTTTTACTTCTTAAAATAACAAGGGCAGGTAGTTAGGAACTTGTACTTTCCTTTGAGGCTTAAATTCTGCATAATTTCAGCTATATAGACAACTTATTGCATGGCGCGAGTGCATTGTCTAATCACAAGTAAGAAGAATATATATGAATATGCAACATTATGCTTTGCTTACCAAACACAAAAGAAACATGGCATGTTCTGGCGGAGTTAGTAATGTGAACGTCAGTTATGGAATGGAATTTTCAAATAGAGTGGATAGATATAGAGGATTTGTACGACTAAGCCCAACTAGTTTGGATCGATTGATTGATTGATTTTTGGAGATGTGAATGCATGGAAAATAAATGAAGTATCATATTCGCATAAAAAGTGGAGCTTAAGATAGGATTAAACCTAAGAAAATGATGTAAGTTTCAGAAACTTCATGCTATCTTATAATAAACTTCACAGATATATATATATATATATATATATATATATATATATATATAATGAATTTGATAGTAGTTTCCTTAATTGAAAGTTTGTAGAGGGGTCAATGTGTATGTGAAACTGTCAGTATTTTGAAGACTTTCATATCCATTTGAATAAAATAATTTCCAAGAGGCTCTTTTCATGTCTAAACAGTCTAAATCTTGAGGACAGGGCTTCAAACCGATAGGTAGTTGCTCTATTTCTCTTAAAGCCTTCTCTATTGGTTATCTCATTCCTTTAACTCATGGTTGTTATATCTCCAGTCAAATCCAGTACTTGAAGCATTTGGCAATGCCAAAACAGTTAGAAATAACAATTCAAGGTGAGATACTGGCTCTACGCGTGTTTCCAATAAAAAAACTGTCTCGTGGTTGCTTCAACAATCAGTTGAAACTTTTTGCTTCTGAAAGCTACTTAGACACTGTTGTTTACAGCCGTTTCGGTAAGTTTGTGGAGATTCAGTTTGACAAGAATGGAAGAATATCTGGTGCAGCTATTAGAACTTATCTGCTTGAAAGATCTCGAGTTTGCCAAGTTTCAGACCCTGAACGGAACTATCATTGTTTCTACCTTCTCTGTGCAGCACCACAGGAGGTAATCTGCAGCAATGCTATTCCTTTTTACGTCTTTCATCACCCTGAGTTAATTTGATTGTCACAATAACCTTTTGACATTTTCCTAATCGTAACAGGAGATCAAAAGGTATAAGTTGGGGGATCCCAAATCATTTCACTATCTCAATCAATCAAATTGCTATGAACTAGTAGGCGTTAGTGATGCTCATGACTATCTTGAGATAAGGAGAGCAATGGATATCGTTGGAATTAGCGAGAAAGAGCAGGTAATGCCCTAATTGCAATTTTCTGTCCTGCAACTCTCCTTTTTGATTTTAATAAGCTACTCTGTTTCTTCTTCAGGAGGCAATTTTTAGAGTTGTGGCTTCTGTTCTTCATCTTGGTAATATAGAATTTGCAAAAGGCAATGAAACTGACTCATCTGTTCTGAAAGATGACAAATCTAGGTTTCATCTTCAAACTACTGCAGAGCTTCTGATGTATGTTCTGCCCTTCATATATCACTACTCTTCCTTTGATGTTTCCTGCATGAATTTTTTATTTGATTCAATTCTTCTATCAGGTGTGATGTTACTTTATTGGAGGATGCCCTACTGAGACGTGTAATGGTCACTCCTGAAGAAGTTATAAAGAGAAGTCTTGATCCTGAAGCTGCAGCAGTAAGCAGAGATGGGTTAGCTAAAACAATATATTCTCGCTTATTCGACTGGTATGATTCTACTATCACAGCCAGATCAGTGTGGTTCTTATCTGTTACATTGACACTAATGGAAAATTATGTCTACTGTTCACAGGTTGGTGGACAAAATTAATAACTCGATCGGGCAAGATCCTAACTCCAAATCTCTAATTGGTGTTCTTGACATTTATGGTTTTGAAAGTTTCAAAAGTAATAGGTAGGCACTGGTGAACAAACAAAACGAGTAGTAAATGTGTTGTCTTGCATTTGACTTTTCTAACTTTTATTCCCAGTTTTGAACAATTCTGCATTAATTATACAAATGAGAAGCTGCAGCAACATTTTAACCAGGTATGGTAGTTCAAGTTCTATAGAAGCAGTTCTGTCCTTTTTTGGTAAGCACACCTCAACTACTGTGAAATACATCTTTTTTCAGCACATGTTCAAGATGGAGCAGGAGGAATACTCTAAGGAAGAGATAAATTGGAGCTATATAGAATTTGTGGACAACCAGGATGTCCTAGATCTTATTGAAAAGGTTCCATCGTTTTGGTTTATAGCGAAACCTTTTGGCTTCAAATATACAAATATATCTGTTTGCGCATTATAGTCATCGTTCGGTATAAACCACTTATGTGAAAATGGCATATCATGAATTGATTTGTATTGCTGTTTACAGAAACCTGGAGGTATCATTGCTCTTCTTGATGAAGCCTGGTAAGATATGTAATAGCTCATCTACTATGGGCATTATACTGCTGTGTGTCCCCTCATTTAGCATCTAATTTCTTTATATGAGCTTCTGTGGGAGAAAGGGATCTTCTAATCGACGTTTTCCTTGAATAAATTTTTCCAGTATGTTCCCCAAGTCAACTCACGAAACATTCTCACAAAAGCTTTATCAGATATTCAAGGCCAACAAACGCTTTATCAAACCAAAATTGTCCCGCACTGATTTTACCATTGCTCATTATGCTGGAGAGGTAATATGATATTTGTTTTTTCTTAGAAGTCTGGTCAATTGCTTCTACGGTTGGATATGGGGCATTATTTACTACTTGCTTAAAATGTTTCCTTTTTTTCCTACTAGGTTCAATATCAATCTGATCAATTTTTGGATAAGAACAAAGACTATGTTGTTCCTGAACATCAGGATTTGTTAAGTGCTTCTAAATGCCCATTTGTTGTGGGCCTTTTCCCTCCTGTTGCTGAGGAGTCAACTAAATCTTCATCCAAATCATCCAAGTTCTCATCCATTGGTTCTCGTTTCAAGGTAGTTACTAACTTATATACTTCTGATGAATTTTGGTGATCAATAGTATACTAATTATCAATAGAAATTTAGTTTGATCGGCTATATGAATTTACATATCCTCTCAGTTTCATTCCTTTTATGCTTAATACTTTGTAGTTTAATCCAAATCAGCATTTGTAAACTAGGGGTTCTCTAAAATTTCAACACTTATCTCTACATGATGTACAAATCTATAAACAAACTAAAAAGACTCTTGACAAACAAAAGACCTAGTGCAAGTGCAAAAATGACAACTGAGCCTTAATCACAACTAATAGGTATTGCATATATGAATTGTTCATTCGAGTCCAGAACCAAAGTGTGGTTCTTTTGGACACAAGAGACCGAAATAGGTGGGAAAAAAATGGGTAACCTTTCTATATAAAACGCCCTCTTAAAGGGCGCTATACTTTAACGTCAGTTTTGTCCATTAAGGTATAGCGCAGTAAATAACCGCTCTATAACCAATGTTTGCATTTTAACGCATAGCGCTCTAAAGAAATGCGCTATATATCTGTACGGTCAAAGTGTTATTTTCATTATTTCTTTTCAATTTCCTTCTCACCTTTTATCCTTCTCTTTCTTTTCAATTTCCTTCTCTATTTTCATTAGTTCTTTTCTCTCTACTTTGAAAATTACATTTTCTAAAATTATTTTTCAAAAAGGCAAATCTAGGTAGAGTAGACTAGTTTCATGGCGGCAGCACGAACACGTCAAATCATGAAAAGTGGTGAAATAGTACTTAATAAACATGGCTAAGGCTAATAGAAAAATCAACAGAAATCTATAGATAATATGTACTAGTGTTCCTGCTGCCGCCATTGATTTTTCTAAGTGTATTTTTTTAAATGATTTTCAAAAATGTATTTTTGGGAAGAAGTTACTTTTTTCTGCTTATCAAAAATTCCTTCCGCTTCTATTCAAAAGTATTTTTTTTGTTCCTTCTAACAGCTTGTTTGGATGGTTGTTACATATATTTCATAATGCATTGTATTGTATTGTACTGTATCATTTGATGAATACAGTGTTTGGATAGTTAGTATCGTATGCCGTTGTTTCATGATATCACGCACCAACAATATGAAGAATAAATTTGCAATATTATAAAGAAAAATTATGATATGGGGTAAAATTATTATAGAAAAAGATAGGGTATATGATAAAATAGAATTATTTAATAATAATGAAGGGTGAACTAAGAGAAAAGACAAGGTAACAACGCAACCACATCAAATCGATCATTACGTAAAGCAGCACATTTCATCATATGTAACAACCATCCAAACAAGCTGTTAGAAGGAACAAAAAAAATACTTTTGAGTAGAAGCAGAAGGAATTTTTGATAAGCAGAAAAAGTAGCTTCTTCCCAAAAATACATTTTTGAAAATCATTTTAAAAAAAAAATACACTTAGAAATAACTTTTAAAACTAGGTCAAACACTAATTACTGCTCAAAAGTCATTTTAAATTAATTAGCACAAATTATTTATCATCAAAAGTATTTTTGTTGAAAATATTTTTAGAAAATGTAATTTTCAAAGTAGAGAGAAAAAAACTAATGAAAATAGAGAAGGAAATTGATAAGTAAGAGAAGGATAAAAGGTGAGAAGGAAATTGAAAAGAAATAATGAAAATGAACACTTAGACCGTACAGATGTATAGCGCATTTCTTTAAAGCGCTATGCATTAAAATGCAAACACCGGGTATAGCGCGGTTATTTACCGCGCTATACCTTAACGGACAAAACTGACGTTAAAGTATAGCGCCCTTTAAAAGGGCGTTTTATATAGAAAGGTCACCAATTTTTTTCCCCACCTATTTCGGTCTCTTGTGTCCAAAAGAACCACACTTTGGTTCTGGACTCTTGTTTATTCCCATTGTGTTATGCTCTAAGCTAAATCCTCATGAATTTTGAGAGGTTGTAGGTCTTTTGAGGCAACTTTCCCTTGTGTGATTTTAGGTCTACCGTCCACTTTTAGTACATTCAATCATCATAGTATCACAATTGCAACAAGTGCATGGGAAGGCCTATGTTGGACATGACCGGACCATCTCTGACGACATTCTATTATTTTATCCCTTTGTGTGCCACTTGCATTCTCCTATTTAAGTATTTACTCATTAAGGAATATCAGGTATCAAATTGCGGGGATATATGGTCGTTCTAATCTTGTCTATTCTTGGATCATTTCAAATCCTTCTTAATTCTGCGAACTATGACACTCGTCTCATGGATGTGTTATACTTCATAGGTCCAACATTCACTCTTATTAACATTGCTAATTAATAACCTCAATATAAAACTTTCCTTATATGTGGTAGGTATCACCCTGTTGCACATGACTATCATATCCACTCCTCCATTTTGACCTTTAAGTTTTGATTCTATCTATTACTTTATCTGTTATGTCCTCTTGGATTTTTGTGATCTAAGAATATTTTAAACAAAGAACTAACAGCCTAGTTCCAAGTCCTTACTTTAAATAGGTGACAGAATCTAATGGCCAATTTACTGTTGCAGTTACAACTCCAATCATTGATGGAAACCCTGAATTCTACAGAACCTCATTACATCAGATGTGTGAAGCCTAACAGTCTTTTGAAACCTGCAATATTTGAGAATGTTAACATTATGCAGCAGCTACGTTGTGGTGTAAGTAAATTTCACATCATATGAAGAAATTCCTTTTTAATTCTTGAATTATGTGCTTATATTTTGTTGTTTGAAGGGTGTTCTAGAGGCAATTCGAATTAGTTGTGCTGGCTATCCTACGCATAAGACATTTTCTGAGTTTCTGAATCGATTTGGTCTTCTTGCTCAGGAGGTCTTGGAAGAGCAGTAAGTACTGGTCTTGTTCCTGTTCATAACCCCCCCACCCCACCCCACAAAAAAAAAAAGAAAAAAAAGACAAAAAAGGATTTGTGCTTTCCTAAAAACTTTTGATCATTAGCAGTTTGACCTGTTGATTATCAGCTGATATACTATCTTTTTTTAACTTGTTTGTGGGCAGCGTTGATGAAAAAGTTGCATGCGAAAAGATATTAGAAAAGACAGGGCTTGCTGGTTATCAGGTTATTTGATGCTTGCCTTGCTATTTCTGTGAACTGATTTCTATTTCTTAAATGTCGAGATCAATACTATCAAATTATTCACTTCTATGCTTACACACACGAAAGAAATATGTACGTATCATTTCATCCACTGCCTCTTTGTAGTGTAGGAGTAATCAATATTTCCTTCATCATCATTTTCGAAAATGTAGCCCAATTCATGATACTAATATCATTTTTACCTACCTTGCGACCTGCCTAAGTTTACAAGTCTTATCTTTCAAGCAGCAGGTGTGGATTTTTCTAATAAAAGGTTCCTTTTTTTTTGCTCAAAAAGGAATCATCCTCTTGCACTTCGAGCATGTCGGTTAAGTTGCTCTCAATTTCTAGACTATTGATACTTTGTCTTTTACTTGCAATGATTGTATATCTTTGCTGATAGATAGTTGCATATGCTTGCATAGTAGAATTTGCTAATCTGAGTCACTGAGAGCTTTCTTCCTGTTACTAGGTGCTGCTGATATCTGTAATATAATTGATTTAATGCGTGGAAAAGTTATCCACAATATTTTCATGTACATGTTTCAAGGATCATTTTAAGCTTGATCATTCTTCTTCTTTCATTTAAATTAACTTCCCAAATTTATGAATCAAGTTACACTTCAGACAGGGTTGCTAATATTGTTTTGCAGATTGGAAAAACAAAGGTTTTTCTGAGAGCAGGGCAGATGGCCGAGCTAGATGCACACAGAGCTATAAAGCTAACCTCTGCAGTTAAGACAATACAAAGGGAAACTAGATCTCATATTGCACGGAAAAATTATGTTTCTTTGCAGAAGGCTGCAATTTGCTTACAATCCTTATGTCGAGGTTTGTCTATCATTATCTGTTTGGCTTGTCTCTCTCACATTGTGGACTTTGTTTTTTAATGTTAGATGTTTTACCCATTTACTAAGTTTCATTTTGCCACTTACTGGGGCATTTTGGTAGCTTACTTCACTCATGTAATCTGTTGCTACTTCAATTCTTTTACAGTTAGATAAGTGAGCAATTCCAGTAGTGAGTCTTCCTATTGTACATTGATCAGGTTGCAACGTAAAGCTAACAAGAGAATACATTTTTATTTTAATCTAAGTATATTCTCTTAACAAAATTGTCTTAAAGCAATCCATGGAAATCCAGACTTAGCAAAAAAAAAAAAAAAGAGTATAATGGAAGAAATAATCCATACAGACAAAGCCAACCAGTTGAGATCCATGCAGACTTGGCGAAAAATAGGGTACAATGGAAGAACATATCCATATAGGCGAAGGCAAATAGTTGAGATTAAGGTCTTGTCTTGTTAGTACGCTCACATTAGTCCAATATTTGCTAGTTGTTTTTTTAATCTTGTCAGGTGATTTGTAGTGGGATTACACTGGGTTTGTTGTTGTTGTTGTGTCAGATGATTTGTAGATCAGTAGAAAATGTTGAGAACTTCTAGGATTAGAGAAGCTAGTTAATATTGGAACAAGATGAGTCTAAGTAGAGCAAAATGGATAATGATGATTCATATAGCCAACCTTAAATAGCTTAGTACTGAGACTTAGTGTTGTATATTCTCTGTTTCTCCTTCAAAGTACTTATGGTTCCTTTCTTTGCGCACCACCCACCAAATACATGCTGGAATTGTATCCCATATAGATTTGTCAGCATTTTTGCTTATTTTAAAAAGTAATAGGGCAAAGGTTTTGAGAAAGTGGAAATGAGAACTTTCAAGAAAATAATGGGAGTCATATTTTGTAAGATTTACATCCGAGAAAAAAATAGAGCCTCTCTTTTATTTGGAAGGGGCTGGGCGGTGGGTGTTGGGGTGGGGGGTGGTGGTTATTAATATGCCATTACATATATTGATGTATGTTAATTGTCTTATTACCGATACAAAAGGCCAGGATAATAACAAATCAACTTTTGCTTTCTTATCTGTTATTCAGACAAGTTTAATAAAAAAATCAATAGGACTTTCTTTTCTGGATAGATACTTCTTGTTCTCAGAATATTTATTGTTTTTGCCTTTACAGAGTACCAAACCATTAATTAATTCCCCATAATCTCCTTTCATCACCATGATCTAAGGTCTCTTATGTACAAGCTGCTGCATTCCAAAAAAAAGAACAAGATTAAAAAAAACGTATTTGTCAGCTTAAGATGTAACACAAGTGCTCCGTTAGTTCATCTGTGCTTATGGAATGAAGTATATGATGGTAATACCGTCACCCTGACATCCTCCTCGTTTGCTAAAATTTAGATCACTTGTGCATGTTCCGTTTTGTAAAAACGAGCACTGTGGAAATAATTGCTGTATATTCACACCCTTCTAGAACTGCATCCACTTTAGAACAAGCTTTTCAGCTTGGTCTACTATTCCAATAGGCTGCCCTATTTTTCCACATTCAATACATTTATGTGCTCGCTCTCTCATATTCTTCAGCAAGGTTTGCTTTCAAATTGTATGTCACCATGAAAAGAGAGGCTGCTTCTCTCAGAATCCAGACAAAGTTCCGTGGACACTTGGCCAGAAAATCCTACACAAAACTTAAATGTTCAGTCATCACTCTTCAGACTGGAATTCGAGTGGCAGCTGCACGAGAGAAGTTCAGATATAAAAAACAAACCAGGGCAGCAATTATTATACAGGTTAGTTTGTTGGGTTTTCTAATTTATTGATTCGGGTTCATGCTAAGTTTGTTGTATAGTGCTGACAAGATAATATACTTGCAGGCCCATGAGCGTCGTCACAAAGTCTTTTCATACTATAAGAAACTCATATGGGCATCAATTCTAGCACAATGCAGATGGAGGGGAAGAGTTGCAAGGAGGGAGCTTCGGAAACTAAAGATGGTAGGTTCTGGATTACTATACTCTTATATTACCTGTATTCATAGTTTTCCAATTTCCTAAGCATAGTAATGGCCTAATGGGTTGACGATTTGAATGACCTGGATGATATATCTGCTAGATAGGGCTTGATTACTGAAGTGATACATGGTTCACTTGTTTGTTATTATTTGCATAATAGTACTACATTAGAGGCTGTTTAAATACTTCTCTGATTAGCTGGAGTTCATGGAAGGTTAGAAAATCCATCAGGGAAGTTTGGAAGATGTTCCCAGCTTGTATCTTCTGGTGTATATGGACAGAGAGAAACACAAGATGTTTTGAGGGCATTTCTACTCCAAATTACATACTTAAGGCTAGATGTTTAGCAAGTTTATGTAGCTGGAGTAACCTTTCACCTGTAAATTCCCCAGAATCCTTTTTGGACTTTGTTAGCTCCTTAACTTTAGACTAGGCCTTTGTAATAGAGCTAACAATGTTTTTACTGCATTGTACATTTTGCATCTTCTTGATGCCTTATATGAAATCCATTATCTTATTGAAAAAAAATACTTCTCTGAAGCTTTTAGTGGAAAGTGTTGAGTGTCTATGAAGCTTCCTGTCAGTAAACCTTGTAAACAAGTGGTTAAAATGCATGAATTCATATCAAAAACAGATCGAAAGTATTCATATCCTTTTAATATAGGAACTGTACCATTTGAAAGTACATATGTACATGTCACTTACTTTGAGAGTACAAAGTCACACGCTAACAAGAGATATTTAAGCTCAAATAGTTATTGTTGTAAATTTGGACATCAGGTAAACGCAGATGTATACATTGTAAAGTATGCCTATAAAAAGGAATCAGGTGTAAGTCGTTAGTCTTAGTGCATCTCTCCATTAGTTTCATTTTGATTTCATTTGCGGTAACATGATTCCCCTAAATTTCCTGCTGTGGAATTGCCCTTTTCCACGTGAAATACAGAAGAGTGCATCAGAATTGTTGCTTGCAAATTTGATAGGTTAATCAATTGACAGTTACAAATATTCCCTAACATCTATGGATAGATAATATACATTTCAATGTCTTCAGGCTTCAAGAGAAACAGGCGCACTGAAAGAGGCAAAGGTTAAGCTTGAAAAACAGGTTGAAGAACTTAAATTGCAGTTGCAGTTGGAGAAACGTCTAAGGGTGATATACTTGTACTAAGCAGATGATCTTTCTTTTTTCCCTGCACCGTATGTATAGCACATTGGGGATTTTATTTGGACAGCATTGGTAGATAAGATATTACTTGAAAGTCCAAACAATCCGGGATTCTAGGGCTTGTGGGTTACTATGAGTTTTCCATTTTGAGAAAGTTGAACTATTTGAAGCATTCGACAAATCACAAATAGGAAAATCTCTTTTCAGATGGACTTGGAAGAGGCAAAGGACCAGGAAATAGCAAAATTGCAGAATTCATTGCGGGGCATGCAAAGCAAACAGAATGAAACAAATACATTGCCCAAGGAACATGAGGCTGCTCAAAAAGCTATTGAAGGAGACTCTTCAACAGTTGAAAAGAAAACGGTCCCAGTTGAGCATGCGGAAACAGTTGAAGCTTTAACTGCAGAAGTGGAAAACTTAAAGGTATGACAGTCAATTCATAGAGTGATCCACACACCTTTTCCCCTTCACATTCCTCCACCCTAAAGGCCTAAAACTGAGGAGAGAAGATAGAGAAAAATAGGTGAAAGCATTTATCTTTTTCCAGTTACATATGGTTGATGTCTCATGCTTATACCTATTGATAGGTGTTATTTAAAAAAGAAAAGCAACGTGCTGATGATTCTGAAAGGAAATGTGCTGAAGCTCAGGAATCAAGTAAAGAGAAGTGCCGGAAGTTAGAAGAGACCGAAAGAAAAGTTCAACAACTCCAGGACTCGCTTAACAGGTAGCATTACTCGAATAATTGGTACCAGATTTAGTCTTTTCATCTTATAAGAGCATGGATCACCAAGGTTTGAGTCGACAAAAATATAAACTGTGATAATGCCTTTTAAAACATACTGGGGCAGGGGAATATCCCTTTTTCTCTTTCTTTTGAACCATTTAGCAACTGAAACCAAACTTGAGATTTATATTTCTGAATGAAGTTATCGGTTTTTCTCATGTGAGGGAGGACTGGATTTCAGGAATTAACTGCAGAATTAATCAGGACTCTTTTACCAAATTCTGACATCACGTTTTGCTTTTAATTGTCCAAATCTCATATGAAATTTGTCACCTGATTAATAGGTATATTGATCAAAATGTGCTTGAAAGGGCCCTTAAGTTAGTGGTCCCTCTGAAGCAATGTGATACGTGCGCTTCAAAATATGCGTACGTTAAAGATGAAGACAAACATATAACATTAAATAAAATAACTTATTGTAATGCAGATCTTCTACAAAGAAATATATATTTGACAAAAAGAAAAGGATAAAGCAGTATCAAAGTGTATACAGAGGAATCCAAAGGTTGGGGTTCCAATTTAGAAAAATCAGGGAATCTTTACACATGTAGGCTATTTCCTAAGTTCAAAACTGTACAAAATATTCGGAAAATAGAGTTTTTTTTGAAAATCTGCTTTATATAAAAGATCTAGTTACCAGTTTGACTCTGAAAGAAAGCATGCTATTTGAGTTCAATGTTTGACTTTGATTCTAAAAGACATGATGCTATTTGAGTTCAATCATTGGTAGATATCTGTAACCAGTTCAGACGCTTCAGATTGCCTAATTTCCTTTGCATTGGAACTTCTCATCATGGCAAAATGCTCAGCCAAGACAAATAATTGGCATATATTCATATTAGCTTATAATATACACATATAAGAAATCATAAACAAATTAGTCTTAATATCATATTTTCTAGATATCTTTTACAAGGAGTGCTGCTTGGGATGCTATACTCACGGCGCATAACCTGAGGAAGAGGGATACATCACTATATCCGGTGTTGTATGTGCAAGAAGAATTGAGAAGACACCAATCATTTGCTCCATCACTCCAACTATGCCACAGAACCTCGGAGTGTGGTGTATTCTTTGTTCAAGTATCTCTTGGGTACTCCCTAGAACTAATGCAGAAAATAGCATCTTCGAGGATGAGAGTGGGGAGAGAGAGAAGGAAATACGGAGGTTAGCAACCTTGTACATCTTTTGGTAAATATGAGGATAAGGGAAATGGGGATGCTTGAAGGAGTCGAATATCACAAGGAAGATCAAAAGCTTATTGTATCTATACATTTGGTGTAAAGAAAGCATTCCATTATGTATAGACGATGGAATGGCATTTTGGAAAACCTTCTATAGTCTTGTAACTTCGGCCTTGGTGCATATTAATAAAATGATTTATTTGATTTATCAAACAAAGGAAAGAAAAAAGAATTACTGAAACCACCTCAGCTTGGACGATTATCTTTTGACGAACTGAATTGGTCATATAGAACTGGTAGAATCATTGTGCACTACTAGATGGAAATGATACTTTAAACATGATCAACTTCCTGATTTGTAAGGTCAGTCTGGGGTTGTCTAAAGGGCGCGTACAATGACAATTATGTGGAGAAATTTTCTAGAATTTGTCAAGTTCTCCTAGTAGGTCTGCTGGAAATTCTACGAAGTGGCAGATACAGGTGATATCTTGGAAATGCTTGAAATGGATGTTTGTTCACATGAAGAGTTATTTCCTGATACTGTTGCATTAGATTCATAAGCTTTAGTGTATGTGGTGAAAATTGATAAGTCATATGTGAAGCATCATGTATCTAGCAAAGTATGCCTTATAGATGATTCATTTGCTATCACTCATATCTATGGTGTTGTGAGTCAAGGTTGGCACTGAAAGGTGCCGACGTAATAAATGTGTCAAGCGGTGCAATGTGTCTTTTAGTTATCATCCACACATGTTTTTTTAAAAAAAACATTATCTTCCTACGCAGGGAATAGGTGTTTTGGAAGAAGAATTGACCAATTTTCTGTATTTTTCATTCCTCAGAGATTTTTAACTGTGGTATAGTAATACCTCTCTATAAATGAATATTTCTTTGTTGTCTCTTTTTTATTAGAGGCTCTGCTTGAAATCCTCTATAACCTTCTATACTTCAATTGAGATCTCCTTCGATTTGTTCCTTTTATTATCACTGAATGTTTGGATCATTGGATGTGATCAGAATATCACATTTGATCCCATCAGAACTCCGTAACTAAGCATTCTTGAGTGAGAGTAGAATATGGTGGGTGAAACCTTGAGAAGTCTCTGTGTTACATCTTCCTTGGCATCTTCAGTACTTTTATGTTAATCATATAACATTGAAGATTTTAGATCATAGTGAAGTCTGGCATCCATATATTGATTATTCTGGCAACATATAATTTTGAAAATTGTTATTGGCAAGAATCTTAATAAGGCAGATGTATGCTGATTCTTTTCGGTGAAACTGAATCTAGAGTTCTGCATGCACTCAATAATGTTAATATTTCTTAATTTGTTGAGTTACATGAAGCTTTCAAGCAATTCATTGGCACAAAGGCATCCATGGAACTGCAAGTTAGAATTACCTTTGATGTTATTGATCTTTATCTTAGAATTTAATGGATCAGATCAGACTACCTCAGATCATTGACAGCTTCAAGCTGGTCTTTTCTGTTGTCTTGCAACCTCCCAGCAAAAGACAAGCATAAAAAGAACTCTTTGTACCCTCACTTTTATCCACTTTCTTAGTCATAAAGAGGAAAACCTTCTTGCTTCAGAGCAGAATGGATTAGTTAGTAACATGTAACAATATTTTTGGCATGTTAAATCTCCCCTTTTTTGCATCCTTTTTTTATATGTTGTGTTTTTGTTTGGTTGGTGATGTTTAAAAAGCTTTCTCTTCTATTGTCAACTGGAATTTGCTCTCCTACTGAGGAAAGGACAGTTTAGCTTGTGAAAGACGCTTCCTTTTTAAGCTCTACGTAAAATACTTTGCCAGCATAGTGGTATCTGTTAGCTCCTTTTCGTATGAAGTTTCCAATTTTTCCCAAGTGATATCCTTTTCTTGCTTTTTCTTGAACTATTCTGGAGATCATATATGAATGTTTTTTATGGAGAAGGCACTTTTGACTCTTTGGTGAAATGAGATACAGTCACCTAAATCTTTTACTTAGTGACTTCTAAGATGCATCTGGAAAAGAAACTGGAATGAAAACAGGGTAAGGTATATTGTAGTAAACAAACAGGACTAAGGACAAGTAAAGATAGGTAGTGTCATGAAGCTTTCAACATCACTCGGAAGACTTTTAAGATTTTTACTATAAGTTGAAGGAGTTAAATCTTATAGCTTCGTTTTAACATAGAATCTCTTGTGTCATATGACTAATACTAGCTATGATCTAGTGTGCCTCAGGATGATTTACAGCATATCAGACCAATTCTCAGAGCTGAAAAAGGTATTACGTCCCTCCTCCAGCCAGAGTTCAGCTTCAGGACTCATTTCTAGAGGTTACCCAGATGATGCTACATCTGCTTCAGCTGATGCTACGTCTGCTGACTCTGACTTCACATTTCAAGCTCCTGGTTCAACTCCGCCACATTTATCTTCCCCCAATCCTCATGCTTTCCAGCTTATAGTTCAGGATCTTGCAGCAGCTGAAATCTCAGGTCAGTCTAGTGTCCCTTAGGGTGGCTTGAGCACTTTTACTAGTCCTAAAGTACGGCACCGTTCACCTGTTCTCCACGAGCAAAATCAGGATGCTAAATTCCACTTATTCTCATTGCGGGAAATGATATTCTTTCCATTTAGTAGAAGTCTCCCTTTCATCTGTTAGACAGTGATAGTTTAGTTACAGCTGCATAATTCTTTTTGTTTTTTGTTAAACTGAACCTGCTACAAGAAACTATATTATATATCCTTTTTTCTCTTGGTTGGGTGTGTTGTGCAGGTTCTGGAAACTGGGAAAATGACCGGGAGGGGGTATTCGATGACTTCTTCTGATGGAAATTGCTCTTCAATTTGTTGTGTCTCTCTATACACACTACAGAGATGCTAGCACTTTACTAGATGAATAGCCTACTTGAGCTTATACTAGGCATCTCAACCAGATCTTGACAACTACTCTGTACAGTAGAATCCCAGACAGTTAATGTTCAGGTACAGTTTCTCAAGCAAAGGTTTCATTCCAGTATTAAGATTTTTCTATAAACTTCTTTTGTATGTCCTGAATATATGTGTGAATGACTAGGTAACTGAAGTACAATAGTCAATTGAATGTAGACTTGCAAGAGCTGTCGATCCACCTTTAAGACATCTTTAGTGCTCTCCATGAGTTAGAGCCACTCCATCTGTATGCAAAGCCCTTGAATACCCTGTGAGTGCATTACTCCAACTTTTCATTTGCTCCTTCTGCTTTTTTCTGAAATCTTCACTGAATAAAGACTCTACACCCCTCCCCATCAGTACCAGTGGTGGGCACTGCATATAGCAGCATTGTCTCATTATCTTGTCTCAAGTTTTCATCCTTTGTCACTTAAAACCTTCTCTAAGATAGTTGTGCTTCAGCCAACTCCCATTTGTAGGCTATCTTGTCTATGTTCCTATCATTTTCTTCCTACTCTGTTTTTATCCCCTTCTCTAACTAGGTCTCCTGATGGTCTCCAATAAAAAATTGTCAATGGACCAAGATCATGTCTGTTATTGATATCCATCTTGGAATAGTTGAACATTGCGGGATTTACTTTATTAAAGTACTTGTCCTTTTTCAATAGGCTTGACGAAAAGCTGACCAACTTAGATTCGGAAAAAAAAAATCTATGTCAGCTGGCTCTGTCAATTGCTCAAAATATGAGATGCTGTTACTCCAGATCAAGGATTCAGGTAATCCTGGGCAAAATGTTCCACTTGGACAATAGAGTCTTTATCTTTCATACTGTTTACGCATTTATGTGAGATTGACTGAGGACTTGAAGCAGAAACTGAAACATAGTTAGTCAAAGGCTTGCAGATTAGTTGCCCTTCAAGTATTTTGCTTACCTCTTCTATCGGTTGATTAAGAGCTGGAATTTGTAATAGGATCTGGCATATCACATCATTGAATTAAAGCGTCAATTCAGAGGTTGAGTGAAGACCACAAAAATAACTTAATGAGAAAAAACAAGAGTGCCAACACTAATGTATTGCACTGCACCTTGACTTCTTCAAGGAAAGAGCTGTTGCTGCTTGCATTATCTACAAGTGCCTTAAGCGCAGTGGCGGCCATTTGAAGTTGATTGGACCAGTATCTTTGACAGCATAATACAATGGATAGGCAAGCTATTGAGGTACGAATTAATGTTGTTATGTGCAAAGCTTCGATTCAATTAAATAAATGCAGGTTCTTTTTTCCAGGTAAAAGGTACACAACAACAACAACCACCACCACCACCCAGTGTAATCCCACAAGTGGGGTCTGGGGAGGGTAGTGAGTATGCAGACCTTACCCCTACCCCGAGGGAATAGAGAGGATGTTTCCGAAAGACCCTTGGCTTTTCCACGTAAAAGGTAGTTATTCTGATTTAAAGCCTATTGGCTAGCGGAGACATCCACTCTGTTCGTGCTGCTGCAACACACATTAGAAGTTGGTATACTGATGGGTAATACCCCACAAGCAGTCACATTGGCTACTCTTCCGTAGAATGACACAGGTAAAATTTGATTATTTTATGCATTGGTTGTTATCATTTAGCGGTTAACTCCACTTGATGATAAACATTTTCCTAGAGCTGTCATGGAACCCCCTCAAGGGTTGATCTTTCACTCATTAATGATGATCCAGCTGGTGTAGTGGATACCCTGAGCCAGGTTGAAGGCAAATATCCTACTTTGTTGTTTAAATAGCAGCTAAACAGCATAAGTGGAGAAACCCTATGGACTAATCTGACGATGATTCCGCTTTTTGGATTCTGCATCAAGGTTCAGAATGTCAACATTTTTCAGTGTAATTATACAAAATATAAAAGAGGACATAATATGTGATGTTTACCTGATGCCCTTTTGATGTATTTCTATAACTGATTTAGGCTCCAAGATTATCCAGACCAGGCATACTTAATGAGACAGCAGCACACTCGCCAATGCTGCTACTCAGGAAAATTTTGGTGCTCACTGCTGACGTGTCAAGAGCCTTGCTGTCTTTCTAAAAATCCAAGCATGTAAGAGCTGCATCCATAAATTTGTTCTTTCTTCCACTCTCTCCTTTCTTTTCTTTCCTTTTCTCCTCTCTGGCTTCAAATGAATTCCCTGTTTGTGTACCAAATTCTTTTTCAGGTTTATAGCTGACTGGTGGGCGGTGGCGACCTGCGGAGAGTGCAGGTGTGCCAATAAACATGTGTAAGACTTGGAATGCCTGTAGATTAAGCTACAGAATTATGCAGTAGTAATAGTTACACTGTGAGCACAAGTTTACAGCAGAATCAAAAGTTCAATAGAAAATCAATCAACTAGATCTGTATCCAAAACCAGTTGAAGTAAATTATACAAATCATCTGTATATGTTTAGAGGATTCTTCATAACTTAATTATTTTTACGCTACCTGTCAACCTACTATATCCCTCATCCTCCCTCTCTCTCTCTCTATATATATATATGGGAACTTTTCTAGTGAAACGAGTCCATCCCTTTTAAGTCTGAAACGTAGTAGTAATTCATTACAAAAAGGGGTACGGTATCAGAATACAAAACAATCATCTTCACTTACCTTCAAGTTCTTTTATTGCTAACCTATCCTTTTATGATAGCCTTCCAGGACTAGTCATGAGGTACTTGCAATCAATTAATTCATGCAAGTATTTAATATTTAATAGCATGGCTATAAATTATGATCAAGGAAAAGGGAAATGTTTATTTATGCCAAAAATAAGAAGGAAAAAGGAAATGTTTGGCAGTGAAAGTGTTTTTGTAACTGTACCGTTTTATAGCATGCAAAAGATCACTAATTAAGTTCAGAGATGAAATAGCATCTCACTTTGTGAGTTAGGAGGCTGAGCTTTTAGTTGTCTTTTTCAGTTTCCATATCAAATGACATTTGGCGTTACTTATGTGGTAATTTATTTATTTTTCTATGCCTGGTGTAATATTAAATAACAATACAAATATAAGTAAATACTATTGTTCGGAGTATAATAAATAATATATCACTTGAGGTCTAATCTAACTGGTAATTAAAACGTAAAATAATAGCTAGACAGGAAAGAGAAAGATGTTTGAGGGTAGTGATCTATTTAAATCGATTTGCTCACATCAGTACATGGTGTTTTACTATAAAACTTGCATTTATTCGTTTAATAATGATAGTAAACTTTTTCCTTTACACCTTACATGAAACCTTAATGGCACTCAACTTTTTCCAGTTTTTAGTTGGAACTCAAAAAATCATAGTTCAAGGCCTATGAAAGGTTCTTTCAGCTATTTTCCTGTAATGTGATTGCAGTCAACAAAGTTAATCATTGGTCCACAGCCACTCTTCAGAGAATTACAATATATAGATTGAACTAAACAAACCAGCCGTATTGTTGTGCTACAGGTCTCTTTATCTATATTCACGTCTGGTTGCTACAAACGAAAGCCAAAGAGTCTGGTACAAGTTTGGCATTTGTATCACTTCATCTTTTCTTCCTTGAACAAAACATGACGATTCACACGAGGATCAAACTTTCTAAATTCAAGTTTCGTTTGACTCGTTTGAAGCTTTTTGGTCTTCTTCTTTACATAGAAAAACCCAGTTCCAGCAGCTGAAACAAGCCTCACGAATAGAGCTCCAGCCTTCTTCTTATCACCCATTACCTTATCTGGTAGAGACAACCATAACGGATGAAAATTTGGTCTTCCAAAGATGTGTAGAACTAAATAGTTGAAAACTCAACAATAATCAAAGATTTAAATATAAAAGAAAATTTCAGATAGTGGTACATAATTGTTAGGTTAGTAGGTTGTGCAATGGTTTGAGGAGCTAATCAAGTATTGATGGCCAGAGAAAATTTTAGTGTTCGGTAAATTATTGACTTTCGTTCCAAAACCTGCAAGCCTATCTCCGAACTCGCACAAAAACATATTTGAAAATTTTTCTCCTATACCATAACCCAAACAACAAAACAAAACCAGCATTATAGCAAAACTGTTTGCTGGTCCAAAATGAATTTTTCTTCCTTTGCTTTGATTTGCTTGGTCCTTGTTTTGACTATGCCATGGTCAGGGGCGGAGGCATAAGCCACCTTACGAGTTCGGCCGAACCCAGTAGCTTTTGCTCAAACAATGTATTTGGTGTTTTGAATTCATGAAATATGTGTAAATATTAAATCTAGAACCCAGTCATTAACACTTAGAAGTCGTGGTCCCGAAATTCAGAACCCATAAGGTTGAAATCTTGAGCCGTGGTTCATAGCGAGATCTCCTCAATAATGCATACATAGGCATATGAGCACTAGGCGCACAAACTCAGCAGGTCAAGTTGGAAGGGAAAAAGTTCGAGCTAGATTCAAGTTCGATAATGATTGCATGTAAAGCTTGTTCTGGCCATGATCCAAGCTTACTTTTCAAGTGTGATGACGGAGGAGAACGAAAAGACAGAATACTTGATTACAAAGATAAGGAAAATGGAAACTTATATCCTTTTACCATCATATTGACCAACAAAAACAGAAAATTAGCAGTTCTCGTGATAAAAACAATCTTTATAGTTCACTCAAGTCATAGTATTCAACTCAAATGTTTTTCCTTTTTTTCATTTTTTTTTGAAAGACAACAAGGCCTATGTCAACTTAGCCTATGTAAACAACATCTTCAACATGAAATTCAAAAATACCTGAAGCCCTCAACCCAACCACCCATTTCCGCCCAACCAACTTATATATCAATAATGAGCCAACAATTTCAAAAAGCAAAAAAATAGTACTGAATTGTATGACTAAAACACCATTCAATCCTTTTTTTTTTTCCTTTTAACAAGTCCATTCACTTCTCCAAATACGAATATTATATGAATGCTCTCAAGATCTCGTGTTGCCAACAAAAATGTTTAATGAGAAGTGCAATTTGCAGTGATGATTCCCAGATTATTTTAGCCTCTTGCTTATATACTAAACATAATTAACGGTCAGTAAGTGTCATCAGAACTTACTCACAAATCACAAAGAGGTAATAAGAAAAGGAGAAATAGAGATCGAAACTAACCTAGAAGACGGGTCTGTCACAGATCTGCCTTACGCTGCCTGCTGCCGTGCCGTTCCATTAAAAATATAAGGGTTCTGGCCAAATAAAGAGAAAAGGCCCAAAATAGTCCCCACTATCTTTGGGTTTGGACTCAAACTGATCCACGTTCTTTTATCTGGAGCATTAGTAGTCCTTAAAGTTTGCCAAAGTGGTACATTTTTAGTCACTTCCCCAAAAGTTCCTCTTGACAGTACTATTAATTATAATAAAATAATCTCTTTATGCATAATCACCATCCTGCTCAATTAGCATACCTGATATCAATTGTTTGATCATATCATAATATTTAACTTAATAATGGTTTTATTAGTTGAGTGAAAATACCAAACCACAGCAGCAATGGATTTGGTGAATTTCATCACTTTAGCCAACTCCATGTCAAATGACCAGAAAGACCCCAGGCTAGACTTGACCCTTAGGCAAGCTATGACTCTGGCTCTGAGAATATGTGTCAAGTTATTTTTGAGTGTTTAGCTATCGACGTTTTTGGTTCAATAACCATCATTCGTTGCAAAGTACATGACACTAAACATGAAAGAATACATCTAAATAAATCTTCCTACTCTTGTTAGTTGGGACAGAGCATCAAATTATATAATCATCATACTATATTATAAGCATGAAGATCAAAAATTAAATATAAAAGTCTAAAATAATCCTAGAATATTATTGGACTTTTATGTCCTTAAGAGTTATATTAATATTTAGTAATACCTTCAATATTAATAAAAATTATATATAAGCTATAAAAGTTAGTTTTGTAACATTAAATTTGCTTTGTCAAAGAATTTATTAAAGTACATGTATCTGTCACGACCCGAATTTCCCACCCTCGGGAGTCGTGATGGCGCCTACTAGTGAAAGCTAGGAAGCCGACCGTTTGAACAAATTACCTTTTTCCCATTTTAATTCTTTAACAATTGTGAATCAACAGTTTATAAACAGCGGAAATTTAAAACAAGCGGAAGAAACAATTAAACCATCTAAATAACTCTAACATGATTTCTTAAACAAAAACTACCCAAGACTGGTGTCACAACTCCACAGACGGTCTAAGAATTCTACAAACAAGGTCCGAAAAATAAATGCAACACTGTTTCTGAATTACAAAAGTGAAACAGGAAGAAAAGATAGAGGGAGACGCCAGGGCCTGCGGACGCCTGCAGGACTACCTTGGATCTCCGTATGGACTGAAGGCAGCCGCCCAAGCTAAGGTCCAAAAGTTGCTGCTCCGGGATCTTAGTATCAGCACTACCGACCCCATGTACTGGTAAGTGCCTAGCCTAATCTCGGCGAAGTAGTGACGAGGCTAGGACCAGACTACCAAATAAACCTGTGCAATTATATCATATACCGTGGAAAATAAAGCAGAAATGTACAGTTAAGAATGGGAGGGGGAAACATGATGCGGGGGAATATCATTTACCAACAATAACTCAGGAGAAAAAGCATAAAGAACGATTTAATAATTCGCAGCCGAAAGAATAAGAAAACCGTAACAAAACAATAACCACTTTTATCCTTTAATGTTGCGGCGCGCAATCCGATCCAAATATAAACACTGTTGCAGCGTGCAACCCGATCCAAATATAATATTGTTGTGGCGTGCAACCCGATCCAAATATAGTATTGTTGCGGCGTGCAACCCGATCCAAATGTATTGTTCAACACCAATCACAAAAGAGTCCCGGCAAGGGAACAATAAGGAAACAACAATATCCCGGCAAGGGAATCGACAGTAAGAAGTAAATACATTCCGGCAAGGGAATCGGCTATAACCAAACTTGTTTCAACATTTAACTTCACAACAGAAACCTCGTCTAGAACCAATATTCAACCATAAGCAATTTTTACGAGATTAATCATAACTCTTGTCCAACACAGAGAATCAACAACTTAAGCATTTGTAGTACTTGTTAAGAACACAACGATTTCAATTTAAGACTCACGGGCATGCTTGACACCAACGTATAGATACTCGTCACCATGCCTATACGTCGTACTCAACAAATAACACATAGAAAATAGGACTCGACTCCTAATCCCTCAAGCTAAGGTTAGACCAAACACTTACCTCGAATTTCCACGGCCAACTCAAGCCTCAAACACCGCTTTTCCTTTAGAATTCGCCTCCAAATAACTCGTATCTAGTCCAAATTGATTTCACAACATCAATAAATACTAAAGAATTCATACCCAATGCTTAATTATAGGTTTTCTATCATTTTTCCCAAAAAGTCAAAAATTGACCCCGGGCTCGCTTGGTCAAAACTCGAGGTTCGGACCAAAACCCGATCACCCATTCTCCCACGAGCCCAAATATGCAATTAGTTTCGAAATCCGACTCCAAAACGAGGTCTAAATCCCCAATTAATCAAAAGCTCTAACTCTACCCAAAATCCTAATTTCTACCATAAAAATCCTAGATTTTAAGATGAAAATTGATGAAATGCAATGGGAAATCGAAAGAGAAAGATTTAGAATCATATACCAATATTTTGGGGAAGAAATTGTTCTTTGAAAATCGCCTCAATGCTCCCAAATTTCGAAAATATGAAGTAAATGGGTTCTGCCCGTTTTTGCTTCTGTTTTAAAATCACTGGACAGGCCTTCATCGCGTTCGCGATGGGCTTGTCGCATTCGCGATGGGCCTGTCGCGTTCGCGAAGGGTCAGGCCAATTAGCCTTCGCGTTCGCGTATAGTGGCTCGCGTTCGCGGAGCTTTGACTCCTCGAGCCTTCGTGTTCGCGGGCGAGTGGCCGAGTTCGCGTAGAACAAAATCCCCTTCCCCCTGCTCAGGCCCAAAGACCTTCGCGTTCGCGATAGCAGGTCCGCGTTCGTGAAGGGTAGCACCCCCCAAAGCTTCGCGTTCGCGACCTGTTTCTCGCGTTCGCGTAGAAGGAAAATTCCTTCAGCCTGACTTACCCTCCGCGTTCGTGAGAGTCCTTCCGCGAACGCGAAGAACAAAGTTCCAGAACACCAGAAACTGAAAACCTGCAACTTTTTCTATAAAACCTTCCGAAACTCACCTGAGCCCTCGGGCTCCAAACCAAACATGCATACTAACTCAAAAACATCATATGAACTTATACGTGTGACGACCCAAAGGGTCATCACCTGTTTTTAATTAATTCTGTGCTTCCGAGGCCTTGAAAACCTCATTTAGAGTCACCTCGATTTGCGTGCGCAGTCCGGGCGCGTAGCTGGAAAGCTTAAATATGAAATTCTGTGAAAAATGCTAAGTTTTGAATTTAAAATGAATAAATTTGACTTCGGTCAACATTTTGGGTAAACGGACCAGGACCTATGATTTGACGGTCCCGGAGGGTCCGTAGGAAAATATGGGACTCGGGCGTATGCCGGAATCGAATTCCGAGGTCCCGAGCCCGAGAAATGAATTTTTAAAAGAAATTATTTTTCTGAAATTGTTAAGGAAAAATTGAAATGATATTTGATTGGAATGTGTTGGTATCAGACCCGTATTTTTGTTTCGGCGCCCGGTACAGGTCTTATATGTGAATTAATATATTTCTGTAAAGTTTGATTAAAATCGGATGTCGTTTGACGTGTTTCAGACTTGAAATCCTAAATTTGAAACTTAATGAAGTTTGAGGAAAAACTCTTGATTTTGAGGTTTGATTCATTGTTTTTTATGTTATTTAGGCGATTGGATCGGACCGATAAGTTCATATGATGTTGTTGAGTTAGTTCATGTGTTTGGTTAGGAGCCCCGAGGGCTCGGGTGTGTTTTGGAGGTGTTTCGGAATGGTTTTTGGCTTGGAAAAAGTTGCAGAAAACAGCAGTTCTGGTTCTGAGGTTTTGTTCTATGCGATCGCATAGGCTTTTCCGCGATCGCATAGTGTAAGTTTCCAGGTGTTCTGTTTCTTCTATACGATCGCATAATCTTCCCGCGATCGCGTAGGGTAACCCCACTTCATTCTATGCGATCGCATTTCCCTTCGGCGATCGCGATTCATTAAACCAAAACCTGGAATGCGAAGTCTATTCTTCTATGCGATCGCATTGTCTTGTTCGCGATCGCAGCGAACAACTTTCCCTTCCCCTATGCGATCGCATGACATTTTTCGCGATCGCGTAGAGCATTTTCGCCCAGTTAAATTTTTAAAACTTCAGAAACAGTAGCATACGGGATTCACCAAATATTTCACAAAACCTTTCTTCTCCAAGCTCTTAGGCGACCATTAAAGCGATTCTTCATCAAAACCTCTTGGGTTTGTAATTCTTAGCTTATTTTCTTCCAATTCCTTCAACATCTATTGAAATCCTAGGCCTAAAACATGTGATTTAAGGTAGAAAATTGGGTATTTGGGTAGAGTTAGGGCTTTTTGATTTTTCTTGATTTAAACCTCGTTTTGGGGTCGAATTTGGAAATAAATTATATATTTGGGGTCATGGGTGAATGGGGGATTTGATTTTGGTCCGAACCTCGTGTTTTGACCAAGCGGGCCCGGGGGTCGGTTTTTGAATTTTTGGGAAAAATAATGGAAAAGCTATAATTAGGCATTGGGTTCGTATTGCTTAGCATTTATTGATGTATTGAAGTCATTATTGTATAGATACAATTGATTTGGAGCCGAATTCGAGAGGGGAAGCAGTAATTGAGGATTGAATTGGCCGTGGAAGTTCGAGGTAAGTGTTTAGTCTAACCCTAGCTCGAGGGATTAGGAGTTGAGTCTTATTTGCTAATTGCTTCTTGTTGAGTACGGCGTATAGGCATGGTGACGAGTATCTATACGTTGGTGTCGAGCATGACCGTGAGTCTTAAATTGATAGTTGTTGTGTTCTTAAATGACACTTCAGATGCTTTAAATTGATGACTCTTGATATTGAGTAGAGATTTAGTTTATTCTCGCGGACTTTATTTATGCTTGAGTACTGGTATTAATCGAGCTGAGTAAGAGTTGAGCTAGGATTTGGTTATAGCTGATTCTCCCTTGCCGGGATGGTTATTTTGATATTGTTGTTCCCTTGCCGGAAAATTATTATTATATTGCTTTTGTTTTCCTTGCCGGAATTTTATTGTGACTTTGTGTTGAATTGAAATGGGAGTGGGTGGTACGCCTGCCACAAGTTATTGATTGAAATGGGAGCAGGTGGTACGCCTACCACAAGTTATTGGTTGAAATGGGAGCGGGTGGTACGCCTACCACAAGATATTGATGAAATGGGAACGGGTGGTACGCCTACCACGAGATTAATAAATGGGAGCGGGTGGTACGCCTTCCACGGGATTTGATAAAATGGGAGCGGGTGGTACGCCTACCACGGAAACATTGAGAAATGGGATCGGGTTGCACGCATGCAACGAGAAGTGTACTGACAGTGAAATCTGCTTTTATTTCCCTTATCCGTGTTAGAGTTAATTTATTGATGTTCCTTATTATTCTCTTGAATATTCTGTATTATCTGCTATCCCCGAAGCATGTTCCCTCTCCCATTTAAAATGTTTATTCTTGTTATTTTCCCGTGTGGTATATATATATATATATATATATATATATAATATATATATATATATATAATATATTATATATAACTGCACAGGTTTATGTGGTAGTCCTGTCTAGCCTCGTCACTACTTCGCCGGGGTTAGGCTAGGCACTTACCAGCACATGGGGTCGGTTGTGCTGATACTACACTCTGTGCTCTTTTGCACAGATCCAGGTACCGGACAGCAGCAGTAGTTCGGGAGTCTTCCTTCAGTTCACCGAGACACCGAGGTAGCCTTGCAGGCGTCCGCGGGCCCGCGCGTCTCCTCTATCTTACATTTCATTCTGTTATCTCATGTTTCGAGACAAACAGTGTTATTTTTCTATCAAACTGTTGTATTTAGTACTCTTAGTAGTCCGTGGATGTTGTGACACCGGTTCTTGGGTAGAGGCATATGATGATTTCCGCATTATTGTTCCGTTTATTTAATTTAAGTCTTCCGCTTTAATTTCATATTTCCGCTGTTATTCTAATATTTAACGCTTGTTGATATGATTGGTAAAAAAAAATTTAAAATGAAAGAGTTAGGAGTTTATGATTTGTGGCTTGCCTAGCTTCTACGAGTAGGCGCCATCACGACCCCCGAGAGTGGAAAATCCGGGTCGTGACAATCCGTGCGATCAAATCGCCAAAATAACATCTTTAACAACGAATTTAGCATAGAAATCTAAGAAAAACCTCAAAACTTTCAAAGTATCAATTTTTACAACTAGGGGTCCGGATCACATCAAACGACTTCCGTTTCTTACCAAATTTCACAGGCTTGACTTAAACCACGTATAAGACCTGTGCGGAACCAAAATACGGTCGATACCAACAACTTCCAAACATTTTTCATTTCTAAAAACTCACATATTTTCCAGAAAATAATTTTCTTTAAAAATTTATTTCTCGGGCTTGAGACCTCGGTATTCGATTCCGGGCATACGCCCAAGTCCCATATTTTTCTACGGACTTTTCAGGACCGTCAGATCACGGGTCCGGGTCCGTTTACCCAAAATATTGACCAAAGTCAACTTAAATTCATTTAAAGGCAAATTTTATCATTTTTCACAGATTTTCACATAACGGCTTCCCAGCTACGCGCCCGGACTGCGCAGGCAATTCGAGGTGATGCAGAAGGAGGTTTTTAAGGCCTCGAAACGCAGAATTTATTTTTAAAATAAGTGATGACCCAAAGGGTCATCACAATATCTAAATTTCTTCACCATACAAAGTTAAGCTCTTTAACTTCCCATGCACATAATACTCCCTCCGTTTACTTTTACTTGTCCATTATACTAAATCAAGAGAAAACAATTTTCTTTTTCTTGTTTTAACATTATCATTAACTACTCATTCCCCAAATCAATTCCCAAGACTTTTGAAATGCTATCATTATTATGGGTAAAAGTGTAAAATACATACTTCATTTATTTTTTCTTAAATAGAGTACAAAGTCACAAGTGAACAATTAAAAGTGAACGGAGAGAGAAATTTTTAGAGCTAACATTTGTTGTTCTTATATTTTATCTTCTTCTCCTATTTTTCTTAGCTTAATATTCAGATTGTTATGATTTTTAAGTGCAATTCTTTTCTTATAAATGCAATCATGATTCAAAGCTTTTACCATCCATGTAAAAAACAATAAAATTTTATCAATTTTCTTAATATTTTCACGGAAGTATGAAGTATCAGTAAGCACCAGTGGTCTAGTGGTAGAATAGTACCCTGCCACGGTACAGACCCGGGTTCGATTCCCGGCTGGTGCAGAAGTCCATTTTTTTTGCTAACCTTTTCTCCCTTTCGATTTTAACCTCTTTTTCGATCTCCTGCTCGTTGGCCAGATTCTCAAGAGTCAGACTAATGTTCCTATGTAATGGCGTAGAAGCCTTGGTGCATAGTTAATCACTTGTCTCAAGAATTGGCACACATATTTTTTCCTCTAGCTCAATTAACTAAGTACCAAATAAAATTACGAAAAGAGATCATTTTTTCAGTTAATTGTGAGTCAAACTTTCAAAATGGAAAAATCCCTTGGTTTTGGTAACATGAGAATATGAGATAGAACAAAGGATTTCTTTTTCTTTTTTCCTTTTTCTTTGTCTTGGTTTTCTCTCTCCTAAAGAGTCTATATACAAACATTGACGATGGGGTAATTTTTTTCCCTGTATAATGGTGGTGCCGGACCAAATTGCCCACACTTCAACTATATTTCACCAAATACAAGCTAGTACGATCTACTAATAAGTACCAAGTAATTTTGTCCATCAACTTTTAAATAAAAAAGGACTAATTTTTTTTTGCATAATCCTAAAAGCCAATATTCCTACTAGTATATGTTTGATACAAGAGTTGGTCTAGGCTTTGTATATCTTGAATATTCATCCCAATATCACTGCAATTATCAGAAGACTCCAATGAGCTTTGTGGTGATGAGTTGGACTTGAAACAATTATAATTAGTTGGATTATTAGCTGGTAATGACGATGTCATTAATCCACTAATTGACTCCATATTATTGTTGCTCCATTGAGGAATATTTGAATTGCTTGAATTGATAAAGCTTTGAGCTAGCTGAGCCTTCACTTGCATTAGTTGAGCCTGCAAATATGCTACCTGAAATATACATAATGATAATAGGTGAATTTGTCTATAATCACACCTTAAATAATCACCTTCTTGTGTAGTTTTAATGCTAAAAGTGATGACAAAATGCTCTTATTAGTGCTTTTCATGATTTGTAGGTGATATATGTATAAAGACGGCTAAGGAGCAGTTTTGGAGTCAAAAGTGATGAAAAAGAGGCCAACTGTGAAATTTCCTAAGTGACCCGTGCAAAAACAGGCCGAAGATTCAGAGAACTGGATCCACCGCGGTTCCACCGCGACCGCGGCAGAACCGCGGTGGGAAGCAGCTGCAGAAGTTCAGAGATTCCGCGAGGGTGTTTGGCCGCGGTTCTACCGCGACCGCGCCAGAACCGCGGCAGGCGCAGAAACTTCTGGGACCAAAGTGTCAATTACGGGATTTTTAGACCTAAACCCTATTTAAAACATGAGACATCGCCCAAGAGAGGCATGTATTGATTATTTAGGTTTCTTAGCAAGGAAAACAATTGTGAGAAAGTACTCTAAACATCTTTCTTCTTTTCTTTTGATTTTACGATGAATTCAAGCTTAGTTTATGTTCCCATAGTCATGAGTAGCTAAATTCCTTGTCTAAGGTGTTGATGGAACCTATTGGGTGATGAACTTCTTGTTTATGTGAATACAAATTGCTAGTTTAATCTTTATTTGTTCAACTTCGTGTTCGTTGTAGTTAATTGACAGGATCCTCAATTAGCTGTGCCTATTTAGTGTGCATAACTTGGAAAAGAGTGCATATTTAGAGTATTGTTGAACAACACCACTCCTAGATTATTAGAGGAATCTATAATTGCGGGTTTAAAGGCGGGATTAGGAATAACGAAGCCTTGGGTGCAATCTAAATTGAATTGTGCTAAATAAAGTAAGCTAGTGTATCTCAGGAGAGTGCAATAGTAAATTACTGTGATTACTCGGGAGAGATTTACGGTAAGATTAGCGTTCATGATTGATAGAGATGTGTGGGTAAATTTGTATGAGCATCAGGGATTCCATCAATAGGGGAAATCATTGCCTTAGCTTTTTCTCATAATTGTTTACAACCTTTATTTTTACTTAGTTACAGCCATTTAGGTATTTGCAAGCTAGTTGTTAAAGACACTCAACTGAGATTTGAATATTTGGGAAGCTGGTTCTGAAGACTTAGTGGGGCTGAAGATAGCAGTTGATAGGTTAACTCTCTGTGGATTCGACCCTGGGCGTAATACTCGGGTTATATTTGCAACGTCCGCAGAGTCCTTTTTATAAGGCATAGTTGGGCGTGATCAAATTTTGGCGTCGTTGCCGGGGAGTTAACGGAATTATCAATTGCCATTGACAGAAATACAAAGATTCTGTTGTAGTCAGTTTTCTCTCTACCAACTTTTTCATTGAAAATTTGACGGTTGTT